CTTCAAGTCAGACAACTTTCCTGATGAACCTTCCTGCTCCACAGGCTTGCCACGAAGCCAAAATGAAGCAGCTTAGTACTCAGGGCAGGGTGGAAAGCTTTGCTGTTGTTGCCCTTTATTAGATACAGCTCTACCACTGCAGGCATATTTTTGGACCACAAGGCCCTTCCCTGAGCACCATCTAACAACAAACTGTTGAGGGAAAAGCAATATGCATCCAAAGAATCAGCTCCATACCCCAGCAGCCAGGAGGCTGCAGTCACATAAAGACCCAAATCCAACCTCTCAGGTGTCTCCCTTCAGATCCAAGTTACTTGAGGCTATTTCCTTTGTTTTCTATTCCAGAAGTTTCTAGATGTCAGGAAACACATTTCAGCATCCATTTTATGCCCCAAAGCAAGAGTACACAGCTTGCCAAGCTGAATAAATGTGGTTTTAAAAAATATTAAAATTCACAGCATTCAGCTGCCTCCAAATACTCTGCTTCATCCTGTAGCTGCAAGGGCAGCAACTCAAACACCTGACTTTGTTACCTTCAAGTCCATCAATTATTTAGACAAAGCTCCTTTCCAGAGAGACTCAAGTATCAATTATTTAGTCTTTGAGCAGGAAACAAAAACTGTTAAAAGAGGAAAAGAGATTTCTGGAAGGGGCTGTTGGGACACATGAACATATTTGAGGTTGTACACAAACAACCTGCCTGAAACAAAACGAGAATGCCAAAACAAAACAACCCCTAAAGCCAAAAGCTCACACGCACACACAAGCTCCTCAAGTGCCAGAGCCAATTAGTGCCAAAGAGCCCCAACTACATCAGGGGGGTTCAGGACAGCTCTTCCCACGGAAGACCTTGATCCGTTTGGTGTAAATGCCTGTTCTCTAGCCCAGGAGCACAAAACACAGAGAAGCTGTTTTCTAATACCACAGAAGCTCTTTTACAACACCAAGACAACATTCAACAATGCTCACTACAAAGACCAAGGGGAAGCAGAGCCCTGTATTTATTACACCCTTGCCTTTCCCACTCAGGTTCAGAATAAGGATGAAGACAGGCCTAAGATTTTCAGCTTTTGCACAGCTTCTAAAGACAGTGACACAGAAAGAGCTCTCAGAAGAAGCACAGATAAAGCATTCACCTTAGATAAGAGCAGAAATTCTTCCACTCACATATATCATACGTAAGCTGGTACGTGGTACAATGAAAAGGACAAAACACTGTTGCTTGGCTCCCAAAGAGTTGAAGAAAGACAGGAAACTTGAAGCAAAACAAGTGCTGATCCCTCCCCCCTACCAAACAGGGGCTGAGGCACACTTTGGACCAGAAAAGAAAATAACCCTATTTTTAACCCCAGTTAAGAGCCCTGGGTTTGGATATGGCTCCTATTGTGGCCAGCTTTTTTTTTTTTTTCATTTGTTAAAGGTTTTCTGCACAAGCGATAACAGAATTCACATGTGAATAATCAAGCAGAGTGGTTCTTCTATCTGAGGGCTTCAGTTCCAAGATTTATGTCAGACTGGTCAAAAAGTTTAGCAAAAGCCTGGCCATTCAAGGCAGTTGTTTCAACTGCAAACATCACCATCTCTTGTACAGCCAATTTTTAAGGATCACTTTTGAAGGTGATGTTCCACACCTGCACTTTGCTATTATCCTCCCCTGTGACATTCACAAAATAGAAGAATTTGCCCAACAATGATTTTTCAGCTGACTGACCATATGAAAGAAGATCTTATCCAGAATAAAACTGTTTTACAACACAAAAAGTAGTTCAATAAATATGACATCCAGCTACAGTTATGTAGTTGAATTGTGCATTTAAAATTAAGTCAGAGCTTAGAATTTCAGCCCCTCCCCTTCTTTTTAGATTGTTGAATCAAAATTCAGATTCCTGTATCCTTGGGTAGATCCAAACTGTTACTCATTAAAACCCACACATGCCTAACCTTGATAAGCTTTAGTCTGACTGTCTCTGATGTTGTTCTTAACCTTCATGAGATACTTTTGACTGAGCATGAGCAAAATACTCAAAGAGAAGAATCCTGTTCCAGGGGCTGAAAGCAGCATCAGTAGCTCCACCCAAGCCACTAAGCAGAGTTTTGGAAGAGCCAAAGACTTTAGGACTGGGCAATACCAGAGAGGAAGACACACGACCCTCCTTTGGATCTAGAATACAACCTCTGCATCTAGAAATAACTTCTGTTTAATTCCCCTTTAGTAACAGCCCGCACCATTTACTGTTTGATGCTCTAATTTACTTTATCTGAGCTACTTCAGCTTGAAGCAAAATTCAAACCACAGCACATTCATGGATTTTGTGAATTGCATCCCTCTTAGCCTTAAAAATGTACCACAGGTGGCAAAGTGTGAAAGTCTGTTCAACCAAAAAACAGGAAGTTTTGACACAGGAAGCCACAATGCAAAGCAACGTGGCACAGAGAGCTCACTAGTGAAGTGTGTCCTAAGTCCACAGATTTTTCCATACCCCACCCAGGTGAAACTTTTTGTAAAAGCAAAAAAATAAAGGGAAGATCTGTGGAACAGTTTTGACAATCGCTCTGTGAACTCCACTTCCCCTTACACACACCCCAATGAGAATTCTGAACCAACACGGGGAGATGGAAACCAGCGTTTAATTTATTCACACCTATCAGTGCTCAAACTGTGCCACACCTAACCCACAATGAGAATCTTGATAGACTAAGAGAATTCGTCAGCAGAAAAATTCCTCTTTTTTCCAAACATCCATTTACAGGTAATGGCACATTAGCAGCCACCCACTAAAGTTTCATAAACTAAATAAAAATACCCTCTAAGAAAATCAGAGGTCAGCCTCAAAACAATCCACTATTCCTCAGTTATTCATTAGAAACATACAACAAACTCATTCCTCATCCAGATATAACCAAACTCATAAGACACCATGTCAACAATTTTCTTGCTACACCCAAGAGCAAAAAGTTATGCCTTCAACACCAAGGAAAGTATCCCAATTAAACAGCATCTTAGGGCTCAGAGCAAGGGCTTTTTATGGTCCTTTCATTAAGTACTACAAGGCGTAACGCCAGTAAAAGGCAGCCCAGAACACACCCCCTTGCACTCCTGTTAGGTATGCCACCCATGCGAAGACACTGCTCCTAGTAAAAGATCACACTTTTTCCTTCGTTTCTGCCACCCTCCTGCTCCCCACAAGGAGGCAGGAAGGACAGGAAAGAGGCTTTAAACAGGAAACAGTAAGATTAGTTTATCTACCATGCACTAAATGTCAGACAAAGCCTGTGCCCAGAAACAAGAACAAGACTTAAATGAGTTTTCTCCTGATTCGGGGACTGGAGATAATGCTACAACACAAAGGGAGCTACAAAGGAAGCTAAGTGGATCGACTTACACTAAAAAAAAATAATCACACAGAGCACACACCACCCAGAAAATCGGCTTTCCATGACTGTGATTTAGACCCTGACTGCGCCTTCAGCAAGTCCACCTAGGAACAAGATCAACAAACATGAAACAAAATATCAACTGTGTAACTTACTTGTTTTTACTTATAACTTACATTGTTTCTTCAATATAAACACACAAACTTTTGGAAAGAAACAGGAGAATTCCTGTTTCAGTGGCATTATAGTTTTGAACAGGACAACCTTCTGACAACAGGCAACAACACTATATTCCATCCTCCAAGAACAGAGCTAAAAGGATATAGATCACACCCTTAATGTGCTTTCTTCCAGTGTCATCAACCAAAGGATAAAGAACACCATTCTACCTACACAAGTCTGCTGAATTCCTCTTAAAAAATCCCAAACACACAAACCAAATCAAAAGCTGCAAAGCAGTTTTCACCACAGCTCGCTCCTACTTCACACCAATGACTAGACTTGAATTCCCACCCGATCTCTTCTCTTCCGCACCTAAACCTTCCACACCAAAAGTATGACAAATTTCACACACTTATTGTGGGTATAAAGCATCTCAGTACTGATGCCTTACTTCCTGCTGGAGACAGCCAGAAAAGAGATGGATCATCTCACCAGAGAGCACTTATGAACGACACACACCCTGTGCTTCCATTCTCTAGGAACTGCTCTCCTTCCATTTTACTCAGAGTTCTAGGTCACAAGGCTTAGGCCACTGTAGCAAACAAACAAAAACCCAACCAAACTAAAAAGCAGTGCTGGAAGAATTTTGTCCTGCCAGTTATTTTAAAATATCCTTCATGCCTCCACCACCACCTCCTTGGAAGATCCACCAAAGAAAGGAAAAAGCACCCAAACAAGTAGCTTCTTTTACACCATGGGATAGGTTTCTTTGTGAAGTTTCTTGGGGTTTTTTTGTTTGTTTGTTTGTTTTTTTTTTTTAATTCAGAACGTCTCAAAATGCTAAATCTACATAGAGCACGGAAGATAAAGCAAGAGCCAAAACAGAACTGACCATGGAGCATCACCTCTGGTACCCCGCGCCCCACGGTCGGGCCTGTTACGGCAGGAGGCTGAAAGGGTGCCAGCGAGGTCGCTCACTACCACAGCCGACAGACAATTAAAATGAAAATATTTTAAAAATTAAGTTACGGGCCTCGATCCTTACACCCACTGCGCCGTGTCTCCCTCTACACAGCCGGGGCTCAGGGCAGGCTCTGGCAGCAGCCGGGGCGGAGAACGGAGCGGGCAAACTCTGGCTGCAGCACTCCGAAAGGCCTTTTCTCTTACTGTAATTTTTTTATTATTACTATTTTTCTCCCTCGTGGCACCTCAACGAAACAAGCTAGCGCCAGCTCCCAGAGGAAGCCTCACCCGGCCTCTCCGGCTTCCTTTAATGGACAAGGACAATGGCAGGGGCTCGCCACAGCCCCGCGCTGCCGGGAAACTCGGGCAGCCGGGAGCTGCTCCGGAGCACACGCTGCTCCGGGGACAGGGGGCAGAAACACGGCCGTTTCAAGCCGGAGAGAGCGAGGGGCACTCCGGGGCAGACGGCGGGCGGGTGCCCGGGCCGGGCCGGGACTCACCGGGGCAGCAGCCTGCTCGCTAAGTTTCGCCGAGCTGGGCGGAGGGCGAGGCGGCGGTCGGCGTAGGTCCCTCCGCTGCCTCGGCTAGTCCATGGACACGGCGGCGCTGCCGGAGCCTCCTCCCCGCGTCAGCTCGGCCGGAGCGCCGGGCGTGCCGCCGGGCGTGCCCTTGTGCCGAGCCGCCCCGCCGCTCTCCCGCCGGGCCGAGCAGCGCGGAAACGAATGTCGGGGCCACGCCCGCTCCGCGCGCCGCCGTGCTCCACACAAAGGGGGCGTGCAGGAAGCGCGGCTCTGCCTCCGGACCCCGCGGCTCCCGCCGGCTTCGCCCGCTGTGACTCCCTGGCAGGCGTTCCCCCCGAGCGCCCCCGGCCCTGGCGGGCCCGGCCCTCAGCCCTGGAGCGCGGCCCGCGGCTTTGTTACCTCGGGCTCGTTCCGTGGCCCGGCGGCTGCGCCCCCGCCCCGGCCCCGCGTACGGGGCTCACCCAGCCCAGCCCGGCCCTGGGCCGCGCCTCTTACCCCGCAGGGCTCCGGAGCGTGAACCAGCGTGTCAGAGACAGCACATGCTGAGCTGTACTGAAGGCACGGTCGAGCCTACCTGGAGAGCCGGAAGGCGCAGGAAAGGCATGAAATAAAATGACGCCGAAGAGTATTTTGAGTCTTCGGGCGTCCCAGGGCTTTTACACTCCCGAGCGAGACGCTGAGAAGAGAGGCGGGAGGGGAAGGGAGGGCCGGGCTGCTCCGAGCCGCGTCGTTAGCGAGTGATGGCTCCCACCTGAGGCAGCCGCCGCCTGGCAGGTGCGAATGCGCCCCTGCCGGCCCGCTGGGCTCCCACCTCCACGCTCCCCTTCTGCTCCCTTTCCACACCTTGTGATCTCTCTTGACACAGGAAACATTTGTCACCTTCATTCCCGTCCTCATCTATAAAGCAAAACGAATGTCTTCAGTGCTTCTCTAACTATGAAAATACACTCGTGGCAGGAAGGCAAGGCCAGGGGAGGTAGTGCAGCACCACGCGCGTTCTTACAGGCTGCCTCACGGTGTCTACACTTTCTTCACCTGCTGCAGCCCTTGGACTTTGAGGAATTCCTTATTCCCCCGAGTCAGGAACCAGCCCGCTCACAAAGACAGCAGCAATCGCACTGAAGCGAAAGGATCTGTTGAGCAATCAAATGGTGCAAGCTTAGCATTTCTCTAGTGTGCTAATTCTCCACTCATCAAAGCTGACAACCAAAAACCGGCTAGAATTAACAGTAAATACACAGTTCCCCTCAGCCAACCCCTTCTGTTGTCCGACAAAGCAATACACACCAGCGTGTCACCCACTCGCCTCTCACATGATCAAGATTCCTTCTCATTTCCCACAGGCGGTTATTTAAATAAATGGGGGGTTGGGTTTGGTTTGGGGTTTTGTTTGTTGCTGGGTTTTTTAAAGGGAGGGGGACTATTTCCCAGCCTCCCCCAAGCTTGCTCCAGCCTTCTTAGAAACCAAAGCAAAACTGAACTGAAGTTAAAGGTGTTAGCTGTGTTAAAGATGACAGAAGATGCTAACAACTACCTGAATTTTGAGCAGAATCTAAGAGGGGAAGGGGAGCTCGGAAAGGTCACTGGATTATCAGATGGCAAGAAGAACTAGAAGACATCCTTTCTTCGTCTCAGAAGTACTGAAGTAATCTTACAGAGCACTGAATCACGTCTCCAGAAAGTCCAGAGCCAAGGCAGAAAGCTCTAGTATGCTGATTCTGTAAGACATAGGAAGATGGTGCAATAGTAACTTCTAAGATTCAATGGGGAAAATGGGAAATTTCAGGGAAATTCAGCAGCTTTAGGATGTAAGGATTGTGGAATTAGGAAGGGCATTTGTTGATAAAATAAGGTGAACACAACCATGTAGGTTCTCTTGCAATTTACTATTTGTAAAATGGTTAGTGTTAGCAGTTCACAGCATAGTTGAATTGACTGTGTTCACTGTGAGCATGGAGCTGGTTCGAACAGCATCTCCGTGTCCCATTTATTTGCCTTTGACATTATCTCTGCACAGTACTTCACTGTGTTGCCAAGAAAATTGGAGTAAAAATCTCATCCATCACAGAAGCCATTAACTAAGTGCTACGGCAAATTGGAACACTTTTAAAAGACAGTCACCTCAGCAGTAAGACATGTAATAATCCTGCAGGAATGAAAATAGGAAAGCTGATTTTTTTAAAGTGAATATGTGCACGCCAATGTTCATGTATGTTTTGTTAATGTTGTTTTCCTCTGACTACTATAAAACGTTTTCTAAAATAAATAAAATCTTCATGAGGAATATCTGGTGGAAAATGGCCTGACCAGAGCTGTTCACCACTGTGTATGTTCAACGTTATCACCAAATACCATTTTCCAGTGTAAAAAAAAAAAAGTCTATTTATGGAGGGAGGCATCCAGAAATCAGACTTACAGTTGGAATTGTCATGTGGTTTTGATTATTATGAGGTTAAGAGAGAGGGCAGTGCAAGGAAACAAAGCCCACAGAAACTACTCAGAGACCGTAAGCAACTTCAAAATGCAAAGAAATCAGTAGCTGGATCTAAAAGAGAAAGCAGAAACATTTTAGGGAAAGCCACGTTCGAGATCGATCAGAAGAATAATAAATTAGGATGGAACTGGTCAGACACCCAATAAAATTCGAGGCTGAATCAGTGATTTGAGTTTGTCCTCAGCGCCACAGCGTTTCCCCGCCTCCCCCTGCTGTTAGCAGCTGCTGTCGCCCCTCTCTGCTCGGGTCCCCTCGATCGGCCCCGGACAGCCCGTGCGACAAAGGCACACCCCGGCAGGACAGGAAATTAGTACCACAAAAACGCACTAGGTTAAATGTTGTAAGTATCGCAGTGAGTCTGTTAATAATTTATTCCCTCCACTCAGAAATCTCTATATACCACAGACTGTGTCCGTCAGTACAGTGCATCCTTCCTCCAAGTTTCTTCTTGAAAGGAAAACGTCCATACAAGTGAAAAGATCGAAGGAATAGATGGCTCTTCCAACAGCTTTCTTCCAGCCGAATCGGACCCGACAGCGGTCTGCTCCTGGAACCTGCTTAGCGCATTTTCTGCTGCAGAAAACCCCTCGGGCTCACCGCTCACCTGCACTTCGGCTGGCGAGCAGTGACATCCAGCGGCTCGGAGACAAACTTGCCTTTTTTCTTTTTTTTTTTTCCTACCACAGTGCATCACAGGAAACGCATGAGAAAAATGTCAGGGATCCCTTGGCATTCCCGTCTCGTTGTGGATATTCGCGAATGGCACCAAGGACAGGCAGTTTGACAGCGCGGAACAGATAACGCGCACGGGGAAGCAAAGACGCAGGTCCAAAAACACCCTCTGGGGCAGACAATCTTTCTAATGGCCCTAAAAGGACACTGCAAAAAAAAAAAAAAAAAAACGCAATTGGGGATGCCTAAAGTTCAAATAAAAAGCACTTTCCTATATTACACCCACATCAATGACTTCACAGCATTTTCATTAATGAAATATTTTCATTAACCCCAGTTATGTGCTGAAGATAAATGAGCTGACAAACAAGGAAAAGTTGATTGAAAAAAAATTACTACAGCAGAATTGTGTTTCTCAAGCCCTACCCTTGCACTTTGTGCACTTTTGTACTGACCTGACCCATCTTCAACCTTAAAGATGAAAATAAATAGATTATCATTCTGCATGGGTGCAAAATGCACATCTCAGAATAACAAACTTTTAGTTATTAGTTTCCAGAAACTAGCTGAGTGTTAAAGTATGATGTGATGTTTGATGTGCTGAGAAGTGATTTAGATTTTGGGTACATGCCATGTTAAAAGAAAAAAAAAAATCAAAACATTAAATGTATACAAGGAACTGGGCCAGCAGAGGTAGCTGTTAGCACAACAAAATCAACAACTGTAATTTTTTTTTTTTGTCAGTGGACATTCTAAATTCAGTCTGCAGTATTGGAAATTCACTTAGATGTAATTTGTTCCTCCTTTACTATGTTGCTCTAATTTTAGTTATTTGGTTTAGCCCATTGCCAATGGTAATTATCTGTTCCTAGCTCCTGTGTACCACCTATTTTCTATCCTTCCCATTTTTATTTTGTCAATGTGGGGCTCAGAAAGGATGAGTCAACTCCAAGTAATCTCAAGGTTGGCTTGAAAAAAAAAATCAGATTTATAGATAATTTTTTCAGAACGATTTCAAATGTCATTTTGACCGTCTAGGGCTCCAGATTTTTACTTGATTTTTGAAAAACAGGGTTAGAAAACAAAAAAAAAATCAGATTTATAGATAATTTTTCAGAACAATTTCAAATGTCATTTTGACCTTCTAGGGCTCTAGATTTTTACTTGATTTTTGAAAGACAGGGTTAGAAAACTTTAAAATGCGCATAAGCTTATATAACTTTCAAATCAAGAAGTGCACTAACTGTTAATGGGAAATAACGCTGTTTAGAGCAGGAAAAGACCTCAGTCTGATGTGGTTTCTGTATATAACCCTCTGGAGAATCTGCCAAAGCAGAGAACTTTCAGTTTCCATGAATACTTTAATAAACTTAAAAAGCCTTCATGGCTCTTTCTAAAAATGTTTTTACGTTACAGGAACGCTTCAGCATGCTGTAGTGTTAGTGATTTATATGTTTGACAGCCATTATTCTTCCAAATGCTGGACAGCATAGCTTCCTGCTTCTGTTTCCACTCCCCTTGGGGGGGCTGAGAGCAGGGCTGCAGCCCCATGGCATCCTTGTCATCACCTAAGGCTCCCTGCAGTCTGGCTGGGCAGCCAGCTCTGACAGAGTGGGTGGAATTCTGTTGCCTGTACACAAAATTGTAAGGAGATACTTTCCAGATTCAGCAGGTTCTACAGGCACTTCACTTTATCTTCAGTTTCTAGGAATTTATCTGGCTTCCATCCCATTCTCCAAGGACTGTTTATGCCTTTCACATTTCATGTTTATGTGAAATGCACAAACAGCCCTTGGGACAAGGCCTGAAACGCAGGTCTAGGATCAGTACCTCCTTTGCTGGTCTTTGTGCAAGACCAATTCTCTGCAAATGGCAAAGCTTTCTATTTCCCAGGAGAAAGAAAACTCAGAACTCCACAGAAGCCACAATCCAGAATACTCCTGCTGTAAGATCTTTGTTATTCACAGCCTTTTGCATCCATAGCTCACACCCACTGCTTTTGGCACCTCTTGT